TGCCTTAAGCTCTGCTCTGGGGAACCAGGCTAACAATTTCACTCCTACCCAAGGACTTTGCCTATTTTTAAAGTAATTGCTGTGGTGGCCTATGCTTGCCAAACTTTACTCTGCTAACTCTCCACACACAACATTTCCACTGCCCATCTGATGAGGGTGAAATGATGATAAGCCATTGCCTCTAGCCCTTTGTTTACTCTTATCTGTCCTGAAGTAGATCTTCCAGTCTTCCCTGCAGATGACAGATGTAAAAGTTCATTAAGAAAATAATTATGCTCTAGACAAGAATGCTGCCAGATTTCGTCGCTGTTGAGACATGATTAGTTCATGATCTTTCATCCCATCTCAAGGTATCAAATGTATTCTGATAAAGAGAGGAAACGGTGTGTATCTCTATATTGTAGGAGCTGTGGACTATACATAGGCCTAAGGAGAAGGACAGATTATTTTAGTAACAACTTTTCACGATGCAATTGAAGCAAGTGATTAATTCCCTACCCTTCCACAGTAGAATCATTCAAAAGCAAATTTTTATAAAGCTTGGTTCTTTCTTGTGGCCAACATAATACATAGATGCCTAAACTGGAGGTGAGACATTTTCAGAGTCTCATCCACCAGATGTTCCTAGAAACATGTCTTATCCCATGAAATGAACTTCCACTGACAAGTAGGGGACTGTTCGAATCAGAATAGGAGAAGCTATGCTGCAAAAACAAGGCAATTACCCCAGTGACTCTCAAACACAGAAGCATATTTCTCAGTCTCCCTGCAGGTCCATCAAAGGCCTGTTCCAAGTCATCTTCACTGTAGCAGCAACCATCCCATGGACCCCTGCGGGTCACCTTGGCAGGTAAAAAGGGTGCACTACACAGTGGCCCTTAAAGCTTCAACAAGCAAATGACATCATTCTTTCCACTCTCATTTTAGTGACCTATTGAGTCAGATAATCAGATGGCCACAATTTAATTCAAACAGGCTGGATAAATGTAGTTCTGCCAAAGTGCCAGATGAAGGAGTATCAGGATACTTGCTTCCAGCTCTAATGACTGTGGCTCTATGCACTAAGAAAGGAAGAAATTACATCCTGGGGCAAGGAGATCAGGAGAACATTTTGTTCCAAGTGCAGCTTCCCCTCTTTGACGTCATTACAGATATCCAGGTGATCTCAGATACTTTAAAGTGGTACAGCCACTGTGTCACACACACACACACACACAAACACACACACACACACCCCTCCCTGGACCACCTGATGTAAATGCTTGCTGAAAATCCCCGTCTTGGAAAGGGGTGAATGGAGCTTCTCTGCCCTGTGCCGAGCAACTCAGATGGGGAAGAAGTAGACATTCGCTAACTCCATTCTGGGCAGGCTGCTTTCAGAAAACATGCCCCTGAAGAGTCCGCCCCTGAGGAGTCTGGCCCTGTGCTGAAGGTTGAACTCTCCTCTTTCTGCAGGCTGAGCCCTGGTGGCAGAACAACCCCGGGTGATTTGGCATCCCGAGTACATTACATCTAGATCCCTCAGTCTGCTCAGGAAACCTCTGCAAATGCCATCCCCAAATTCTCACGGACAACGTCCTGTGTACCACGGGCTTGGCTTGTTTTCTGTTCTGTTTTCCTAGGGGGAAAAAAGTCATTTTCCAGAGAGTTCCTTTGAATGGTTCCTATAAATCAGGGTTGAAAGACATCATGGCCAGAAGCTTTTTAAAGAATTCCTGGTCTTTCTTCTCCTGGCTTTTAAAAGCCCACATCTTCAGAAGCCATCTTCTTTATCCAGGGCTAAGTAGAGAGGCCTATAGAGCAGTCACAGAAGAGGAATTTTTTTTCAAAGAAGAAAGAAAAGGACAAATCATACAGTTTTGAGGTACAAGAACCCAGAAGCATTTATACGGGGTACATTTTTATAACTCTGCAGAGATATCTTTGCCTCTCCGTCAACCTCATTAAGTGGGGTGAAGGAGAAAACGCATTTCCCGCTTTCGGCTCGGAGGCCACTCCCCCCACATTGTCCATGCCCCAGGGTTAGTGCATTAGCACCCCCGCATCCCCCACCTCCCCCGGGGGTCTCACCTCTCTGCTCAGAGCCTCTCTGCCTGCTTGGAAAGCAGGCCGCAGTTGAATAACGAGGCGCGTTCCCCTTGGAGACTCCTCTCCCCGCTAGGAATTCTGTAAGTGCTTTCTATAAAACAGTAATAGGATGGTTCAGCCAGACTCTCTGGCTCAGATACACTAACTGGCGCTCCCTTTGGGAAGGAGGAGCAGGTAGTCCAGCGATAAGGCCATTAGGACTGACTGCACCAGGCGAGCCACAGGTCCCAGAAGCCACTTTTCTTGTCCATTGTAAGCACGAGAGGAAGTCAGTGAACAGCTGATCAGAACAAACTTCCTGGTGGGATATAAAGCTGTCTATGGGCAGACTCTAGGTAACAGTGGGCAAAAGATGATTTAGTGCCATGATTACTACTGAGCGGGGGAAGCAGAGACCTGGGAAGAGGAGTGGTGGGTGAGAACTCCCCAGATGTCCCCACACAGGTGTGCTTCTTGCTCCTGCCCTGGTTGGTGCCCAGGGACTCCTCAGGATGCCTTGGCAACCACTCCCAGAACTCCAGGATGTGCCAGACAGAAGGGAATGTCTCTCCTCTCTCCATATCCACTTAGCCTTTGTCCTGTGAATTCATAGACCTGGGGTTTTCTCATAATACCTGGTTTCAGGGTACCTGAGCCCCTGTCTGTGAGGTTGAGAATGTTGTTGGGATTTACTAATGACATGCAATTAGATTAGGGAGCGGTTAGTTACTGCCATGGGTGGTGACTAATGGGATGAGGGATGGGAATGTGACTTGGAAGGGAAGTTACCAGGGTGGGTCCAGAGCCAGCTGAACACAGCTCTGATTTTCTTTTTCATTCTCTGACTCGTCTTTCTTCAATGCACTGTGTAGATTTGTATCTCCCTACCAACCACACAAATTAAAGAGCCCATTCAATCCATGAGATGACTTTAAGATATGTCTATAAATTCTTTGATATCCTTCCTTTTAAGAGAATGGAGACCAATTCCTCTATCAATAAATATGGGTTACATTTAGCAATTTGTCTTTAACAAATAGAATGAGGCAAAACTGTGAGTATGAGACTTTAAATGCTAGGTCATTAATGCCCCTGTGGCTTCCTGCTTGTTATCTTTCACACCTTCTCTTGGGGCTTTCATTCTAGAGAAAGCCAGCTGCCATGTTGGCACCTATGGTGGGATCCACCATCAACAAACTCCTGTTAATGGCCAAGTGTGTGCGCCATCTTGGACTCAGTCCTCCTGCACCAGGCAGCCATCTTTGGTCAGCAGCTTTGATGATATCCTGACCACAACCTCCCAAGGGATCCTGAGTTGGGCTACCCAGCTAAAGAATTTAAAGTTCCTGACCTACAGAAATTGGAATAATATGGCTTTGTTGTTTTGTGGTGATTTGTTATTCAATAGTCTGATACTAAGACCAATGGGAAGAGTCACTCTGTTATTGACTAGTCCAAAGTAAGTAATGACATCTGCACTGATGGTCCTCTACTTAACACTAGCTTACTAGCATTTGCTTTTATAAAGCACCCCAAAGATCTGAAGAGGAAGGACAGGAAAATGAGCCATAAGCTTTCTCTCTGCACTTGACTGTGGGAAAATAAATTCATGATGCTAAAACATTTCAGGATTTGTTCCCAGGTACCTTTTCTTGGGTCAAGCAAACTGTGTTCAAGTTGAATCTCTGCTTATAGATTCATTTGATCATCATTTCAAAGTAATTTCAAAGATACATTTTCCATCTTGGGTTTAGAAATACATTGGCAAAATTGGAACAGTACATAACAAGAGGAGGAAAGAAGAATCTATATATTAGCTTATGTGTGAACCTTCAAAAATGGTTAGAAAAATTCATATTCTAGCAGCTGGAGAAAAGGTGTCCTCCTGTAGTTCAAGTTTTCATAAATTTTATTCCTAAGCTTTTCATACCCATCTTGATTTATTAGCCCTTTTCAGCATTATATCTTGTAGACCTGCCAGAAGAACACAGTGCAATGAAACATCTGGTAAATTTTCCCAGATCCTATTATGAAATATCTTCAATTTTCAATTCAATGAAAAGTAAACAAGTCATTGTCTTCCCCAGAAGCGATTCACTTTGCTGTCAGAACCTGGGGCAGTAGGAGACAGAGGTTTCAGTCTTTCCTCAGGCTGCTGGGCCTCGGGGCCCTATCTTTCACAGTCTGGGTTAGCGGGAGGGGGCAGGTAACTCTTCCATGCTTCATCTAAACAAATACATCTGCCTGCTCAGTGAAGTTGTGCCTATGTTTTTTTAAATTTCTGAGCAGTATGCTTTGATGCTGTTAAAGGGTCACTTATGAATTGACATTGTATCAACAAACAGTAATTGCTTAATTTCTGCAAAAAGGCCTAGTTTCATTTCCATTCCAACTTTCCAACCCCAACACATGCTCTCCTCCCCCATACACACACACACACACACACACACACACACACACACGGAGGCTTTAGAAAGACAACATAGACAATGTGGCCATTGCTTATAGTATCACATAACCAGCTTCAAAGGGAAGACTTTCCACAGACCTGACAGTAGTCTGTCCTGAACATAAAATGCACATGTCTGAAATCTATGTATGCATCAAATAGAAAACAATGCCTGCTAATTAAAGGGGAGGATACTCTCTTAGTATTTCCATAATTCTTTCTCAGTAAGGCATTTTACAGATACAATACACACAGCAGGTCCCTTTGCCTGGCAGGCAAGGAGGACTAACATAAGGACTTCCAGCGAACTCGTCTCTGCTTCAAGTGCACCAAGCATCTGCTGGGAGCCTCTGAGTGAGTCAGAACCAGAGGACTGTGTAGCAACACATATGGAGAAACAGAGGTCGAATGTGGGGAAGAGTTTTGGTAAGTGATGTCAGTGTGCTGCAAACAATTCGGTTGTAGGAAGCAAGCAAAGATAAACACTGCTCGGATTATAGTGGGTTGGCTTGGTCTGAAAGTCACCTCAGCAGTGCCACTGCAGGATCTTGGAAAGAACCCACAACAGGACACGTGAGCCGACTGTGGCCAGCATGGATGTGCTGGACTCAGCCAAGTGTGTCTCGCAGTTCAGCAAGTGGGAAGTCTTCCTTCAGCAGGATGAGCTCTGTGACTGAGCCTTTTGAATATTTTTCATATCAAATATAAAGCTGGCTACATAAAAGCATTTGATGAAAGTTTGCTCAAGACAAAATGGGATCGTTTCCTTCATTTTGAGTCACACATTCTACATTAGGTGAGTACCTGTTGCCTGTTTTCTCCCTTTGGAAACTGAATGAAGGCATAAAGGGGTGCTGCCCCTTCCCAAGTCTTACTTGAAAGAAATGAGCCTGCCAGACTTAAACTTCAGCTTCTCTGGTAATACTGTCCATGCAGCTTGTCTGTTTCCCTCGGGTTTTGATTTCCCCTAATAAGTACTAGGTCTGTTCATGCTTGCAGAGGGGGAAGCAAGCCAGGGGAGAATGCTGCCTGCATTCTGGCCCTGTTTCTCCAGGAGCCAAATTATGTTATTTTTGTAAAAACATCTCCTGTCCTTCCCCGGTCATCTCCGGAAGTGGATGGTGGAGACCTCAGGGTGGAGACCGCTTATCTTGGTGGGGATCTGGTGGTGGGCTTTTAGCGTTGGCCAGAGCTGCTTGGCTGTCTGCAATTCTTAGTGCTATTTACTGAAGGAAAAAAGATGTAGAAGGCACCATTACAGTGTCCTCCAGGGCACTGAGGTTGGAAATGCTAGTGAACAATTTCATTTTCAGCTCCAATTTCTTAATCCCTCACAGTGGAAGAAAGACAGTCGGCCAGTAAACTCAAAACTTTTTTATAAATGTCAGACTATAGCACCAGGAAAGTAGGATAGAATCCTGGCAGAATGTCCAAAGGCGTACACTGGTCAGTACTGCTTTCTTCAGGAAAGAATGGCTATCTTTGGAGTTAAACTCTTGTTCAAATGTGACTGCAGCCTTGTTTATGTTTGGCCAGGCCTGGAGCCCCCAGCCCAGGGAGCCACGTGGGACCAGGCCCTGGAACTCAGCCTGGCCCGGGTCAGGAGTCTCTCTGAAGAAGAGTTTGCCACGGCCTCAAACCAAGGGAACTGGTGGCAGCAGCCAAGGACAAGTGGGCTCGGTGTTTCCCTGTTTGACAAGAAAATAAAACACTGCGAGAGCTTTTCCAACACTGCTTTGTGAGACTGGGTTCGGCAAAGACTGGCCAAGGTGAGGCTTAGCAGAACGGAGAACTCGGATTCCTCCACCAGCCCCCCATGTAGGACCGGACAGGAGTGCAGGTGAGCAACCGGCCCACTGGAGAGCCCACACAGATGTGCAGAGAAGGAGGCCCGGGGACAGGGGCAGACACGGGCTTGTACAATGCTGCTGTCCATAGTATAAGAAGGTAAGACCTCAGAAATCCGAATGCAGAAAGAATGAGCAGCCAGGCAAGAGTGCAGACCGCGTGGGTGAGGCGCTGTGTCGGCTCCTGTGCCCACGCTAGGGTCAGCTCCTTTCCACCGGAGGCTGAGCTCCCACCAATACTCAGTCTCACTGACACCACTATCAGGGAAACAAAGGCTAAGTTCGTAATGAGTGACACGCAAGGAAGGTAAAGCCTGACCCAGTAGCAGCTCTGGAATCCCAGCACTCTGGGAGGCTGAGGCAGGAGGACTGCAGATTCCCGTCAGCGTGGGTAACTCAGTGAGCCTGTGCTAGGCAAGGCAGACCGATGGCTCCCAGTTCCAGAAACGCGGAGTCTGCTGGGCCCCGCCCTCCATCCTTTCTGACCCCCGTTTTCCTCTCCTAGGTCATCTCCCCAACTTTCCTTAGCTGGCCGCACTCAGCAAGCCTGGTGGCAGGTCCTGCCCCTGACCCTGGTGAGTACACTGTTAGGCAGCAGCTTTGTGCCAGCTGCCAGTGTGCCAAGCTGTGATGGTTTATTAAATCTATCATCTCCATCAGTGTAAGCAGACCATGAATTTTAAAGGCCAGAAGTAAAACTCCTCTTCCTGGAGAAACATTGAGCTGAAACAGGACGACTGGGGGAGAGCTGTAATGTAAGACTGTGCTACGTATACAATGCTGTAAGGTTAAATGGCTTTCTGCTCTCTGCTTTTCGTCTGATAGGCTGACCCTGTGTGATTTCATCTGATGTTGTGCATTTTCCATCATTAAACTGGATAAAAGGTCACTTCTTTGTTGTCCTGAGACTTGATGAAATTACTTCATTTTAGTTTTGCTCTTTAAGCTACTTCTTTTGGGGAGCAATTTATTTTCATTTCTATTTATTATTATTGAGCTGAATTTACATATAAGATAATGAGCTTTGCTAATGTACACACTCATGTAACTACTACCATATTCAAGACATAGAATATCCTTATTACTTCAGAAAGTTGGCTAGGGTCCCTTTCCAGTTATTCCCAGCAACATCCATCCCCTGCATGGTAACCACTGCTGTGATTTCAAAGGCTATAGTTTTGTCTGTTCTTGACATTCATATTAATAGAAGCACACTATATGTAGTCTCAGGTGTCTGATTCATTTGCATAACAAATTTGTAATATCCATCCATTGAGGCATGTGTTTGTTCATTTGTGTACCAAGTTATGTTCCACTATAGAAGCACAATTTCTATACTCATTCTCCTGTTGTCAGACATTTGGTGCAGTGTTGTGAATAAAGTTGCTATCAAGATTCTTGTGTAAGTCTTTCTGTGGGTTATGTTTGCATTTCTCTCAGGTAGGAGTAGAATCACAGGTGAAAAGGTAGAGGTGTGTTTAACACAATAAGGAACTACCAAAGAGTTTCCCGAAGCAGTTACAACATGGATGGCAGCCCTCGTAATAGATGGGAGTCGCATTTTACTATGGATGAATTTCCATTTTCCAGATGATGCTATCAAGTCTGTTTTCCATGTGATTATTGATCTTTGATATATCATCTTTTGAGATGTATTTTTTTCAAATATTTTTCCCAGTTCCTTATTGAGTTGGCTATTATTATTTTATTTATACATATTTTTATATTCTGGATAAAGTTCTTGGCTGTATAGTAATTATGTTCTCTGGTAAGTGGCTTATCTTTTCATGTTCTTAATAGTATTTTTAATAAAAAGTTTTAAATTTTGATAAAGTCCACTTTTATCAACTTTTTTTATGGGTAGCATTTTTGTTTCATTTAGAAAATCTTTGCTTAAATATATGAAGGACTTTTTGACAAAACTTTTAAAGAACGTTTTAAAATATTCTCAATACAGTGGTCCCTCAGTTCACAAACTCAATTCTTTCCATGATTCTGGGTCACAAACTGAACTGCACCAGAACTGAATCAAATTCAACAGTTAGGTTCAATGTTGACCTTATGGGGAAATTTGATTCAGTTCTTGTCCGATTTGGTTGGCCAGGATGTTGGAAAGAGTTAAGCTTGTAAACTAAGGTACTAAAACAGCTTGTAAACCACTGTACTAAAACTTTGCCTGATTGTCCATGTTTCTAAAACATTTGTTTATTTTTATTATTCTTAATTTAATTACTGAAATGTAATGAAATACTAATAACTGTCTTTCTAGGAGGCAGGGAAGCCTGGATTTATAGCATCTGACAACTCCCATAGTAAAAATATTCCCGGCACAATTGAGTTCACTTTACCTATAGTTTACAAACTGGCTCTCAAAACTCCCAACAGTTGGATAATCAGTGCTCATCAGCCATCACCAGCTTTCCAGTGTACTGCTGCGAAGGCCATACGCAGGTATGTGGCAGAGGTACATGCTTGGGGAACAATCGTTCCCAGAATGACTGGAATGATGTCGGGTTTTGACAAAAACTCGCCATCCAATTTGGAGAATAAGTGACGATGACTGTAGAGAGAGACCTGACTTCCAGGTGTGATCAATACACTCAGATGTGCAGGGAAGAATGAGTCCAGAGTTGAAAAATAAGCTGGTTGTAGTGGTGCATGCCTGTGATCCCAGCACACTGGCATGCTGTGGCAGGAAGATTGTAAGTTTGAGCCCAGTTTAGCCAATCCCTGTTTCAAAAGGGGAAGGGGGAGTGGCTCAGTGCACAGGCCCTGGGTTCAATTCCCAAATTAAGAAAAATAAAGTTTAAAAATAAACATTTAGAATGAAAAACCCGCTGTCATGGTAAATTAGCATAGATCAGAAAGTCTGCTAATATTTTAATTATTAGGAAGATCAAGGGCAATTTTCTCCTCAACATGTTAAAAGGAGGCTAGACAACTTCTCAGGACTGGAGGATGGACATTTAGACGAAGGAACAAGGAAGCGGAGAATGTTTCAAGGACAGTCCCAGGACCATGGACACATCTTCCAGTGAATTCATCAGGAGTGGGAGTTAAATAGCAACAGCTCAAGGAGAAGGGAAGTGGACATGTTTCATCCACAGCCCCCATGGCCGGGTAAAATGCTTGGTGGTGTGACACAGGATGACTATAGAGACCATGGAGTCAAGACCTCTGACACAGGAAATGACCATGGACCCAGGACCTCTGACACAGGAAATGGCTATGGACTCAAGACCTCTGACACAGGAAATGGCCATGGACTCAAGACCTCTGACACAGGAAATGACCATGGACTCAAGACCTCTGACACAGGAAATGACCATGGACTCAAGACTTCTGACACAGGAAATGACCATGGACTCAAGACCTCTGACACAGGATGACTGTAGAGTCCATGGAGTAAAGACCTCTGACACATGAAATGACCATGGAGTCAAGACCTTTACATGATGCGTCTCACAGATTTCTTCCTTTTCATCAGAAACATGAGTAGTAAAGAGAAGAAGGCATTTCACAGTAATCATTTTGCAAAGAGTTTTTATACTAGAAGAGAAAAACCTAGAAATTTTCAGTGGTCTATGGTTCTTTGTAGGAACAATAACAGAAAGAGTGCATTGAAAATTATTCTTTCAAAACTGTTTTGACCAATTGTTGATTTAGATTTTAAAATATTTCTTATATATAATGTTATATATTTTTAATTTTTCTTAACTATATTATACATGTAAATATACATATTTAACCTACTTTAAATAATAATGATAAATAAATGAATCCATTTATACTTCCCCCCAAGCTTATATAGAATAAAACATCACCAATATAGATACTTGGTATCCATGTTTAGATCTATTTCCCTCACTCTCCTCCATTCATAGAGGAAACTTTTCTTCATTTCTGGATCTAATGGTTTTCCTAACTTTGCTGCCTGCTGAGCCACTAACTGAAAAGATGTTATTGTTGTTGTTCTATAATTTATCCCATAGATTTATTTGTCCTGTATTAAGAGAGGTTCTCTGTATTACTGGAAAGCCACACTTGCAAAAACAGGCAGTCCACACAGGTTTCAGGATCAGTAAATAATATGTTTGTAGTGGGCATGTGACTCTAGCTGAGCTGCTTACCTGACCTGTACCCTTTCTCAGAGAAAGACCCTCAGTCTCTCCAGCTGTGTGGGCGGGGACCACGTGATCTTGTCCACACCCTACCTGCTGGCAGCTCATTGCATGAGGCTCAGACCCCTGAAACAAGCAATACTGGAAAATAAGAAAGGGAGAAGCAGAGAGCTCCTTAGGGCACACTGACCTCTGGGTTTGTGAAGTTATAAAGAACTGGGCCGTGGTACCATTTCTCTCATGCTTACTTTGTTCTAAGGAAAGAAAGGATGAAAGGGAGATAGCTTCAAGTCTCATTCCCTTATGATTCCCAGCTCTACTTCTTGCCTATTAGTAACTCATAGTGTGCTGCTCTTTTATCCTTTCAATGACTGCCTCTTTTTAAAAATTTTGATTGTTTGACATGATTTTAGTGGGTTCTCTTTCTTTCTCTCCTTCTTCCTTCCTTCCTTCCATCTTCCCCATCCTTTCCTCCCCCCCCCGCCCCCAAAGGCATGGCAGATTTGAGGAGAAAGACAATGTGGATGGAAACCACAGTGGTCCAACATGAGACCTAGCCAGGAAAACGTTAACCTCTTCATGTCTTTCCAGTGGAGAGAATTTAATGCAGGGCATTGGTGACACCAAGTAATGAAGGACCAATAAGGAGATGCTGAAAAGCCCCGAAGTCAACAAATCAGGAAGCCACTCTCATAGCTGGGCAAGAGAGACAAAGGGAGCAGAGCATGTTATGGAGGCCAAGGGATCGGGTGCTGTGAAAGCTCTGGAACCATCAAGGGCCTGTCTAGTGAGAGGTGGAGAACCTATTTCTTTGAGGGAGAAACTATCCGGGACAGACCAGAGGGGGACTGGGAGCTGGGAGGCTTCTCTCCCCGACATTGCAGTCTTCCCCGGAAGTGATTTGCACTAGGTGAATTCTGCCGGAAGTCAGCTGACCCAGAGACTTTGATGTGGAACAGAGGACGGGAAGGACAAGGGATGACTCAGAGGCCCGGGACTTATGGGAAATGAAAACAACACATCCTGTTCAGCTAACTCACAGGGCTGCGAACATGGTGTGCAAGGGCAATGCATGTCGCATGGTTTAAGGGCTATGGAATGCTAGGGTGGGTCTTAAAATGATACTTCAAGACATTTGCAATTATGAGAAAGTGTTACATGTTTATGGTTAAGTAAAAATATAGAAAAATATTGCATAGAATTTCAACTACTTAAATTGCTATGTAGAAAACAATTAGAAGTATATATAAGAAAAGCTAGTCATTTTTATGCTTTGTGGTCATGAGCCATTGTAGTGTGTGTGTGTGTGTGTGTGTGTGTTTGTGTGTGTGTGCGTGCGTGAAATTTGGGTAAATTATCAATGTATCAACTCTGAGCATCTGTTACTTTTATAACTGGAAAAAAAGTCATCTTCTTTGCCCCCTGGAGTACAGGAATATGGAAGCCATGCAGGTAAGGAACACAGTGCCAGGGAGCTTTCCTGACCCTGAGGACACGAATGTTAGAAACGGGAGTTATAATGCGCTCATCCTATTATAGCACTTTACAAAGCACTTCTCCAGTTTTTTTTTATATAATAATCTCATGAGCTAGGTTTTCCTGTCTTCCAAATAAACACGTACAAATGAGATGAGGTCAGGCTGGTAGTAAAAGCGAGAACTGATATAAGAATGTGGGCCCTGGTGTCTCTTCTCAAAATACTGTAGAAATCATTAGTGCTCTTCTCTGACAATTTCATACTTTCCCCTTGAAGACATACGATAGGAATATTCTAGGTTCTGGGAAGTATGATCATGTGACTTGCTTGGGCCAATGAAATTTGAGCATAAATGATTCTTACTTCTTAGCAGAAATCTAAAAGGCCAGAGTGTAGTTAGTTACAGTGTCTTCCTTTTATTTTGGGGGGAACCAGGGATCCAACTCAGGACCTTGTACTTGCCAGGCAGGCGTGGTGCCACTGAGCTACATCCCCGGCCATCACAGTGTCTTTCTACAGCCATGTTCATTATGGGAATGCATTTGGAAATGAAGCCTGCACAATGCTGAGTCCCTGAGAAGCCATCTGACTGCTTGGGGGATGTATGCTAATAGGAAATGAAAGGCTTCCATTGGATTAAGACACTGAGATTTTGAGGGCATTTCTTATAAAGCCAAATGTAACCCTACTTTGATCAAAACAGCAATTATTCTTTTCACAGCACTAAACTGGGTATCTCATATTTCTGTCTATTCTCAATGACAACATACCTGTGTACAAAATAGAAAAACTGGAGCAGAACAAAGATATGCATTTAATTATTTAGAATAATTTCAAAAATGGAAAAGAAGTAATTGTCAGCTCTCTGGGAGGCTGAGGCAGGAGGATCACAAGTTTCAGCACAGCCTCAACAACGTAGCAAGACCCTGTCTCAAAATAAAAAAATAAAAAGGATGAGGGATGTGCCTCAGTGCAAAAGCCCTGGGTTCAACCCCGGGCTAAAG